AACTATATATATATATATATATATAGAGTGAAAGTCAACTTTGATTTCTTAAACAGAAACTTATTATTTTTATCACGCGATATTATTTTGCATAGAAAACGAAGCAACGTAGGAACACTTGTTTTATCCGATCTTATTTTCGAAGATATTTAACAAAAATATTATGATATATCACTCGTTCACTTCTTAGCGTTGACCCATGATCAACGACATAAATGTGACGGGGTTTGATTCCTTTTGTTTTGTTTTTTTGTTGTTTTTTAGAATACTAGAATTACAAACGAGTGTTGCGCGCGCGCTATTTATCTTTTTCAATACAAGAGCACAAATTAATATAATATTATTATACTACTGTTACACTATAATATTTTTTAACTTCTTGATACACAATTGTCAAAATCCTCGCTGTGAAATCAATACAATGACAGCTATTCACGAAGTTAGCGCGGTGAAAGAACCAATCGCGGAAAAGCATCAACGATAAACTTCGAAAAAAATTTCGAGAGATGCGAGATCGATGTTATGCCTTTTTTTTAGAAAGGATTTAAAGAAGATGCTCAAAGTGATGTCTGACTGTCCTGCCATTCGTTAAATAGATCCGCCTTATGCGGACATTGAAACTTAGTTTTTAAGTTTGGTTTTATAATTTGTTTTGCATAGATTTATTCTTGTTACTTTACTTTCGATATTGCTTTGATTATTTTTTTATCCTCTTTTATTGAGTCTGTGACACTCTCGGACTCTTCTAAGTTATTTCTTATCCTTTCGGCGCTTATTCGATGAGTTATAACTTTAGTCTTTTTCGACCTTTTTCAAAATAAATGCAGTTTAAGAAGCGTTTAACATGTATATGATTCTGAGAATGCAGAGATAACTACAGAAATGCTGTTAACGTGTACAATGAACGTTTTCCAGATCAACTGGTCTCGTATGGCATTTCTATGCATAAAGATAAGAAATAACTTAGAAGAGTCAAATAACTTTGAAAATGTCCATGAAATCACAAATTAAAAATACTATCGCATGTCTCCCTTGAAATCAAATAACTTTTGTCTAAACGCTTTTGTTCTGTAGTGCTTTGTTTCTGAAATAAAAATTCGCCACGCTTTAAATGGTCCATTCTGTACACACACACACACACACACACACACACACACACACACACACACACACACACAAACACACGCGCGCGCGTTCATACATACATGTATGTATATATGTACATATGTATATATTTATATGTATATGTATATATTACTGGTATTACTGGTATCTGCGTTACGTAATTATCTTATTTTCTATTTTCTATTTTGCACTTTGAAATACTTACGTGTGTTTACGTAAATTTATCTCCCGAGTTTAAAAAAAAAATTTTTTTACGATAAATATTTATTTTCAGTTACTTCCGACTTAAATTTAAATTTAAAAAAATTTTTTATTAAAGAAAGAGTCGATTGAATATTTTTCAAAGAATCCGTAAATATTTAATGGTTAATAGTATAAGATTGTGTATATGACATACGATGTATAATTCCATGTCTATATATAACCAAAGTCAAGATAAAAAGTATCGCTAGAGACAAGAGAAGAAATCAAGCAATTTGCATACGGCATAAATATTTCAATATCAGCGAGGTGGTATAGAGCTCCCCCTTGAAAACCATCTTTTACTCCACCCTACCATTCTACGGTAATTGCGACGTGTCCGCAATGTCTTATTCAATAAGCAATCGATAAAATAAAATATAAGCAAACTTGTGGGAAAAATGCTCTGCATGCAGGCGTATTGTTGAATCACACAATAATTGCATTACTACTGATATAATATCAGACTCCATAAATAAGAGTCCCATCGAGTCCACGTCGGCGATCGCGAGCAACGTATTATTTTCGGCGACGGGCTTGGAAACAAAGATATTTGTGCAACGCATGAGTTGCAAACCGCGCGACCCGCATTCGAATCGCCCTTTAAATAGCGTGGTGTCCTACCTCGGGAGGGGGAAAACCGAGAAACGAGAGAGGACATGTGCTCTGCACATGGCGCCTCTAAAACGTGGTGCATCTAGAGACTGATTTGCGCCGCGCAACGTACGATCGACCTGTTGAATTGAAAACTCATCATTAGCCATTTTACACAAGCATACTTGATGGCAGTTTGCCATTCTAGTTGCATGTTATTTAACAACAATTGCATTAATCTCATTACGTTATATTTTCCGACAATTGTATTAATCTCATTACGTTATATTTTACATTTCTTATCAGATAAAAAATTAAACTTGGTTTCTTTGATCGAATTTGATAAGACATAAGAAAGATATACGACGCAGGCTCCTCCTCATTCTTGCATTTTTTATTTGTGTATGTCGAATATATTCGCAGAAATATACAATAATTTACCACACGTAACATCGCTTCACTAAATCGATTAAGAATTCACTTCTTCATTTCCCGCATTTGCTATCGTTTGCAACCGTTCGAAGTACTTGAGAAAACAGAATGCGCAGTGTAAATTTCAAATATTATTCCTTTTGCTAAACCTTTCATTATTCAATGATTACAGATGTAAGCGTTAAGTTGCCAGCGCGTGCAATTCTTGTTACGTTTACCAACGCACAGACGTTTCTGACTGCTCTTCCATTAATTGTCGAATTACGTTCCTGATTGCGGTACTAGAAACGAAGAAATTTCAAGGAGCGCCAAATTGCGCAACCTAATCGGCCTCTGGACTCGCGAATGCGGAAACAACCGCGAGGGCGATAAATGAATCGGGGTCGTCGGCGGCGGCAGTGGCGATGGCGATGGCGATGGCGGGGTCGAGATCCGAATCGCTCTTTAAATAGCCACGCGGAGGGTTGGCAAAAGCGTGAAACAAAAAAAGAAAAGAAAAGAAAAGAAAAGGCAAGGGATGCATACACGTGCGCGTACACACAGTTCATGTGACGCCTCCAAAGGCATTTCTCGAGGTCGCTTCGTTCCGCCGGGGTCGACCTGATGAATGGAAACGTCGGTATTATTGTGTTTACACGCGGGACACACGGGTGCCTCTCTCGCCACACTTGGCGTGGAAACATTCCATTCATAAAGCGTTCCGCGCGTTCCTCTCACCGCTGCACACACCCCGTCATGCGGCCCACACATATGCACATGCACACAGACACATACACACACACATACGCACACATATAGACACAAATGGAGAAGGGTACACGACCCTCTGCCTACCGCGCGCGGGGGTTGACACCAGTGACGTATTCAGAATTTCGTTGCCGCACCGAGGGATGGCCACGGCTCGCCCCGAGATAAAACCGCGCGCGGAGATTTCCTCGGCTCGATGATAATACAGGTATATCCACCATCCTCCCTCGAAAATAATTCTTCGCTCCATTACGCGAGAAAACGGAGAGATTCTCGCGAGATGCCGCGATTCTTTTCTCGCCACTCACATACGTCTAACAATAAGAAAACTTGATTATTAAAGATGTGCGAATTTTTGTGTATCATGATTCTCGTTCCTCGTCACGGACCGTGTCGATTCTTGACTATTTGATCTATTTTATATATTAATTTCTCTTGTACCGAGCGGGAGATGAATGATTTGTCATCACATTTAAATTTTTAACAACGCGACAGTTTCAATTGAGCTAAGTTTTAATTTTGAATAAAATTTACAAAATTAATACATATAATACATACATACATACATACATACATACATACATACATATATGTAAAATTACGAAATGTTTTCATATTCCTTATTTTTTTATAATTATAATAATAAAAAATACATTCCTTAAACATTGCTGATTTTAAAAAAAGAATTATCTTCTTTAATAATTTAATAAATAAATTATATTACTGAAAAGTATATTATTTCATATAAATTTAAATAATGTAAATTTGAACATTACTGATATAAAATTAATGTAATATTAAAGAAAAGAAATTAGAAAATATGTGTTTACTCAATTAATATTATATAATATATGTCTATGCATATTCTTCCGAAAATTACAATGAGTTTATTGAAAACATAATAGTTTTTCTTGAAAAGTATGATATTTACTTCTTGCAACTTTCTTTAACGTTCAACTTACAAGTTTATACAAATAAATAAAAAGTTATTTTAATCTTAAGCTTATGAGAATCGTCATTTTTATATTTATATTTAAAAAACACACACACACACACACACACACACACACACATTCATTTTATATTTAAATATACGTTGATTTAAATATATATATTGATCATACAAATATACAAATATTACAAAACACATATTTCTTATTCTTTCACAGACTTTCTATTCTTTCTTTATGATAGATATGATAAATGTAAAATGTAATAACATGATAAACATTACTTTTCTCTTTTCATCTTTCCTTCCACGCTTATAATCGTATAATACATTTTTAACTACAATTTTTTCAAATTATTCAACGCGAAGCACAAAAGAGAACACGCGAAAAGCGAGATGGAAAGGTGTGAAATTCTCGCGGGGGTGAGGAAAGCCGGCGCGTAACCCCTCCACATTACTCGTAACACATCGTGGTAATTTATAACGACAGGTGTTCCCGGTCTGATCTCCGCCGTCCCCTCGTCTACCTTTACCGAGAAAAGGCGTCAACCATAATGCCGCCAGCCCTCGGCTGGCGGTGGCAGCAAAGGAATGCTCTTTTTCGTCGCGTGCCTCTCAAGGTCTTTAAACTGAATGGTCACGCATGCGATTCCGTC